CCAGAGGTAGGTTTTGGTCAGGAGACTTACCAGCCAGCAGCCTCCCTGCCTGCCAATGTTCCCTCTAAACTGTGTGGCAGCACGGCGTCACAGGTGGTTAATCAGCTCCGTGCAAGAGACCCTGAACCTCTGTCTGGGCTGGGCTGTTTAATCACTTAAGAAGCAGGCTACAGCCATGTGCTCTGGAGCTCCTTGTGCTTCGTGGCTGCCGGTTATTGAAATAGGCAGCTCCCATTGGCCAGTTTCTGTCCAGAAGCCGGCCAATGGGGATTGTGCTGGAGGCTGAAGCAGCTCCTAAAGTCCGCCCGCTATCCCCCCGGACTCATAGTTTTTAAAAGAAAAACCACCCCGCAGCCACATTTCTGAACAGCGTGTGGGTGTGGTGAGGCCTGGGGCTCCCTGCAATGTCCATGGGCTAGATCCGGTGGCTAGGCGGGCTGGATTCGGCCCACAGGCCGGATTTTGCCCAGGCTTGTTCTAGAAAGACTTTCAAAGCAGGGAGAGGAAATAGGAATGGTGGTTTCTTGTCTGGCTAGCTTAGCCCATTCCTAAATTTAAAATTCAACCATCACTTACCTCAACGAGGCAGGATGCGTGTGATCACACTAGCAGAGCTACACACACACACACACACACACACACACACACACACACACACACACACACATATACAGGTGTGTGCATGTTAATTTGTGCTCCAGAATAAAGAGATACCCATTCTGATCTGAGCAGCACCCCCAAAAATTGAGGGTCAATAAATTGTTCCAATTAGGAGAAAGCAGTGAGAAGCAAGGATTTATTGGGCCCAGATTTGTTTATTGACAAACACTGTACAAAAGTGCTGGTTCCCTTGACACAGAACAAAACAAAGATAACAGGGCCCAGCTTATTTTGCTGACAGCACCAAGAACACATGTTTCAGGCTACATCTTGCTCCAGGCTCAAACACTATGGCTGTGTCTAGACTGGCCAGTTTTTCCGGAAAATCAGCCGCTTTTCAGAAAAACTTGCCAGCTGTCTACACTGGCCGCTTGAATTTCCACAAAAGCACTGACGATCTCATGCCAGATTGTCAGTGCTTTTGTGGAAATACTATGCTGCTCCCATTCAGGCAAAAGTCTTTTTCCAAAAAACTTTTGCGCAAAAGGGCCAGTGTAGACAGCACAGTCGTGTTTTCCACAAAAAAGCCCTGATCGCAAAAATGGCAATCGGGGCTTTTTTGCGGAAAAGCATCCATGCCAATCCAGACGCTCTTTTCCGCAAATGCTTTTAACGGAAAAACTTTTCCGTTAAAAGCATTTATGGAAAATCATGCCAGTCTAGACGTAGCCTATGGGTATGTCTAGAATACATGACTCTGTCGACGGAGTCGTGTAGATTAGCTTTCTAGACATAGGAAAATGAAGCAGCAATTTAAATAATCCCGCTTCATTTACATCAAAATGCACTGTGCCCATCAGCTGTTTGGCGGCACAGCGCAGTAGTCTGGATGCTTCGTTTTGATGTAAATGAAGCGGGATTATTTAAATTGCTGCTTCATTTTCCTATGTCTAGAAAGCTAATCTACACGACTCTGTTGACAGAACCATGTAGTCTAGACATACCCTATGTTTCCAGTTACTCCTTCCTGCTGTCCTTGTAGCCTTGTGGCCCTCTGTGGGAGGTAGTGTCCTCCTCTCCCCCCAAAACACTCAATACTTTGCAAAGCACCCCCACACATTCACTCCCAAAGTTCCAGACCCGTTCACATAGCCTGTGGGTCTGGAGTGGGGGCTTGCAATTAACTTACCCTGAGAGTTGTGTTAATTGAAAGGTGCATGCACACCCATCAGTCAAGTCTGTGTCATCAACGCACTCCTCAGTGGAACAGTATGAGGGTATGTCTACACAACAGAGGGGTTTTTTTTTTTGGAAAAACAGCTGTTTTTCCAAAAAAATGTCACTTATGCCCACACTGCAATTGCGTTCTTCTGAAAAAAAATCAAAAGAACAGAGGAGTTTTTCCGACATTGGTAAACCCCTTTCCATGAGGAAGATGACTTTTTCCCAAAGAGCTCTTTTGAAAAAAGACACGTGTGGACAAAGAAGAGGGAGTTCTTTTGCAAGGAGAGGAAAGAGGAAAAAGCACAGATGCCCAGGTAGCCATTCCACCCATAGTAATCACAGTTTGCGTGCAAGATGGCATCCAAACTGAAAGGACACTATCTTTAGAAAAAGCAGATGGCTTTTTCAATGCGCTTTGGCAGTGTGGACACGCTCTTGCGGAAGAAGTTTTTCCGGAAGATCTCTTCCAGAAAAGATTCTTCTGAAAGAAGCCTGCCATCTAGACAAAGCCTTAGTCAGATATCAATAATCTTAACACTGTAATGACATCACCTTGCAATGCACATTCAAACCCAACAGGCTTCGTCTAGACTGGCATGATTGTCCTCAAATGCTTTTAACGGAAAAGTTTTTCCGTTGAAAGCATTTGCGGAAAGAGCGTCTAGATTGGCACGGATGCTTTGGCGCAAAAGCACTTTTTGTGGAAAAGTGTCCGTGCCAATCTAGACGCGGTTTTGCGCAAGAAAGCCCCGATTGCCATTTTCGCCATCAGGGCTTTTTTGCGCAAAACACTTTTTAGCTGTCGGCACTGTCGGCAAATACATTTTCGCAAGAGGGCTTTTTCCTGAGCGGGAGCAGCACAGAAAAGCGGCTGATTTTCCAGAAAAACTTGCCAGTCTAGACGCAACCAACAATGTTTCAGTTACTGCTGTTCCCGAGGCGCAGTGCAATTTTACTGTGGCTCCAAATGCAACAGTTGTGGAATTCCCCTGAGACGAAGCATAACAACCCATTATAAACACTGTGCAGAAAAAAGGGGAGGGGGCTGTTAAATATATAAGTTGGCAATAATAGCAGTGTTAAATAAATCAGAGGTTTTAAAGTTGTGCAAACCAACAAACTGACATGGAGCCCGTCACAACACAGTGGATGCATCAATGATGCATGTAAACAGGACAGCAGCTCTGGAGAGACCGCACCTACACAGGCCCGTGCCTAGAAGGTCACCACGATTTGGGGCTTTCCAGGAAAGGTTGGTGGTCAGGGCCAACATAAGGTAGACCTCTCCTTATCTGGAACAAGGATGCTCCAAGTTCCATTAGGGTATGTCTACACTACCCCGCTAGTTCGAACTAGGATGGTAATGTAGGCATACTGCACTTGCAAATGAAGCCCGGGATTTGAATTTCCCGGGCTTCATTTGCATAAGCGGGGAGCCGC